ACAGCTCATGGGGTTGCAAAGAGTCAGATGTGACTTCGTGACTGAACGACAACTCATAGTATATCACCATGACTTGTGTTTTTGTAATTTGAAAAGCACTTTCCCTTCCATGCTAATCCCCTCCCGATGCACTTCTGTTTCACAGCAGACGGTCTCCTTTCTGCCCTTCTCCAGGATTGCAAAGCTGGGTGCTCACTAGAGCCTGGCATTGGAACTCGCCTCAAAACCTGGCCCAGGCTTCATCTGTGTCTTCCTTCTCCTGTCTCCCCCGACCCACACCCCCGCTCCTATCTCCTCACAGTCTCCTCTCCTTCTGACGCTCTCAACCTCGCCCTGAATGGTCCTTGCCTTCTCATGCCTCAGGGCCACAGATCACATTGTTTATAGGCCTGAAACACGGTCCAGTCCCTTTTACTTCTGGCAGAGTCTTACTCACACTTCAAAGCCCAACCGGCATATTCTCTTTCCTGGGAAGCCTATCTTGGCTTTCCAGCGCCAGAAGGAACTGCTGCTTCCTGCCTGCTCCCACTGTGCTGTGTTCACAACAATGTATTACATCACCTAACCCAGGCTGACCAGAGGACAATTCTGTGAACTCTCCACCAGCTGGTGAGTTCTTACGCCTTAGTAGACATCTGTTCACACCAGGCGCTTCCTACCTGCTCTACAAGCGTCAGCTCCCTGAATTTCCACAACCCCAGAAGGTTCTGTCGTTAGCCCCATTTTATCACGAAGAAACTGTGACATAGGGAGCTTATGTGCTTTGCCAAAGGTCACAGAGCTTGTAAGCGGCACACCCAAGAGCTGAACCCGGTTAGTCTGGTTCCCGCCTGTACTCGTAACCACCGGCTTTCCTGTTTATTTCATTTATAATCTGTGTCAAGATCCTCCCAGGCTTGGCATGGCGGCTTGCACACGGGGATCAATAATTGTTCATTGACCAGAAATCGAGCACCATTGCCAGGAGTTAGAGAGCAGAGGGGGGCGGGAGGTGGCTGTACCTGGGCGGGGCGGGCAGCACTGACAGAGCTGTTCTGAATCTTGACCGTGGCGGTGGTTGCGTGAGTCTACACTGAGATAAAATGGCATAGAACTACACAGAGTCGGGGCCTTCCCTGGTGGCTCAGCTGGTAAAGAATCTGCCTGCAGTGCAGGAGACCCGGGTTTGATCCCTGGGTCGGGAAGATCTCTTTGGAAACAGGAATAGCAACCCACTCCAGTATCCTTACCTGGAGAATCCTATGGACAGAGGAGACCTACAGGCTACCGTCCATGGGGTCACAAAGAGTCGGACACGACTGAGTGGCTGACGCACCCTAAAACAGAGTTGACCCTGGAACAGCATGAGTTTCAACTGCAAAAGTTACTAAGTGTGCAGATTTTTTTTAAAAAATAACAAATATTGTAGAATTACATGATCCACAGTGTATTACAGATGTGGAACCTCACATAGGGAAAAGCCGCAGAGACAGAGGCCAGTTATAAGTGGTGCATGGATTTTTGACCATGCAGAGGATTTCCACTGACCTCTGGATTGTTCAGGAGTCAAATATATATGGGACTCTCCAGACAAGAATACTGGAATAGGTTGCTATTTCCTTCTCCAGGGAATCTTCCCAATTCAGGAATCGAACTCAGGTCTCCCACTTTGCAGGCAGATTCTTTACTCTCTGAGCCACCAGGGAAGCCAAGTCCAGGCAAGAATATTGGAGAGAGCTGCCATTTCCCTCTCCAAGGGATCTTCCCAACCCAGGAATCCAACCCAGGTCTCCTACATTTCAGGCAGATTCTTTACCGACTGAGCTACGAGGGAAGCCCCAAGTATATACACATATACATGTAAATGAGTGTGTGTAAAACTGGTAAAATCTGAGTAAGGTCTGTGGATTGTACCAATATCAGTTTCCTGGTGTGATTTTATACTGTAGTTATGTAAGATGTTACCACTGGGGCAAAGGAACATGGGGTCTCTCTGTATGATTTCTAACACTTCCTGTGAAGCTACAATTATTTCTCTGATGTCCAGGGGTAGGGTCATGGCTCCCAGGAGAAGTTGCTCTGCCAGGAGCCCTCAGGGTGCAGAAAGAGAATTCTGCCTTCTGGCCAGAGTGAGTTTGTTACTGTTCTTCTCTTGCTTTCAGGACATGGACTTGTGTCCTCCTGGGCTTTGATGCCTTCATGGTCTCCTGTGACCTGGTTACTCACCCCCTTCAAAGCCAGCGAGTTGTGTGAAAGGTGAGGTCACATCATGGTCAGCAGTTTCCTCTGTGCTTTAGGGCACCAAGCTTTAAGGTCCACTAACATTAGAGTGACAGTTCCAGATCTTTGGAATTGAAGATGAGCTGCCCTTGTCTTTAACTGTCTCTTTTTGCTTGATATCAATCAAGAGCAAGATCACTCGTGTAGGTTAGAAGCTACCAGCAACTTCCCTTGCCTGTTGGAGGGGATGGTGAAATATTAGGCGTACGTTTAAGTGGGACAGAGAGATGACGTGATAGAAGACTAGATTGATTACCCGAGAAATAATTAGGCCTGCAAAACCTGTCACAAAGTTTGTTGGAATGACAAGGGGTCAGTAGAACCGGACGGGCTGCTAGACCCCGTTTTAAGCTTGCAAAAAGACTTCCAATCTTCTCTATCTTGTAACTGAGGCGCTGTGTGTGTTATTAAATTGATACAGGGGAACTTGGACCTTGCCTGGGCCACCTGGCGTTCAGTTAGGCTGTGTCACGCAGAGTTCCAAAGAGAGGGAGCAAAAAGCTACAGAGATGGGGAAAGACATATTTGGAGTCAGAGATGCACCAGACAATATAGACATGAATGTGAGCAAACTCTAGGAGATAGTGGAGGACAGAGGAGCCCGGTTGCTGCAGTCCATGGGGTCGGAAAGAGTCAGACACGATGGAAATTTAGTATCTGAGCTCAAATATGTTGTAAATATAAAATACACACCGTATTTTAAATATATACTTTAAAAAAAGAATGCAAAAAAAAAAAAGAGAGACAGACATGGCTGAGCAGCTGAACAAAAACAAAAAGACGATGTTAGATCCATCTTCTTTAGTCAGGAGGTAAAATTTCTGGTCTGAACTCTCAGATATGCCGCTCCAAAGCCCGTTGGGTTTGGGCTCACCAGCAAGGCTCACTGTTGGCTTTCAGACTTCTCAAGCTTAACCTTATTTTCAAACAGAACTTCCGATTTCTGCCCGAAAACCTGTAACACCCCCAAGCCTCCCCCTCTTTGTATCAGTCACCCAGTTGGAATCATCCTTGATTCTGTGCTCTCCCTCACAGCTTATGTATGAGCTGCTAGAACATTTCAGCCAGTTCAACCTTCAGAGCCTTTAACTTTGCATCTCAAAGCTTCTAGCTTCTCTCCATCATCACTGATCCAAGCCGCTCTCCTCTTGGGCCTGTTATTTACTGACAGCTTCCTAAACACATCTCCTGTCTCCAATCCTATCCCACTGTAATCCATCTTCCACAGTCTGGCTAGGGAGACAGTCTTAACATGGAAATTGCCATATGTGACTCTGCTGTTTATCTGCTTTAATGACTTCCCATTGTACTGGGAGCAAAATAAAAACATCTAACCAAAGCCCTGCACGATCTGGCTCCAGCTTCATCTCAGGTGACTGTTCTGGTCGTTCAGACACCTTAGACATACTACATTCTTCAGTCTCAAGGTCTTTACATATCCTGTTCCCATGCCTGCAAACCCTCTTGGTGGTTTTTATGGCTGATTTCTACCCAGGTCTTGGCTTAAGTGTTATTTCTCCATGCAGAGTCCTTTGGCCACATTATCTACCCAACACCTACCTCCTAATATTTTCTCTGTTTTTATTACTTTTCTTAAGACAATGTAATTATACTTTAGTTCACAGACTGTCTCCTTTACAGTATCTTGAGCTCCCTGGGTACTGAAACTACTGGTTTGTTTCGCCAGAATAAATCTATGTAAACAGCAGCCCTGGCATAGTGGCTGACTTATACATGTTAGCTATTTGGCTAATGAGTGTGTGTGTGTGTGTGTGTGTGTGTGCGCGCGCGCTCACATGCTCAGTCGTGTCCGACTCTTTTGCAGCCCCATGGACTGTAGCCCACCACGTTCCTATATCCATCGAAATTTTCAGGCAAAAATGCTGGAATGAGTTGCTATTTTCTCCTCCAGGGGATCTTGCCAACTCAGCAATCAAACCCAAGTCAAGTCTTCTGCATTGGCAGGCGGTTTCTTTACCACTTGTACCACCTGGGAAGACAGATGAATGGATGAATAAAAATACGGGTTTTCGGGTTTTGTTTTGTTTTGTTTTCAGTTGGAAGGGAGAAAAAGATTATCAGATTTGTGGTACAAATTGCAGTTTCTGGCAATTCATAACCTGATATAACAGGATTTGATAAGGCCATTAAGTTGGAATGCTTCCTGAAAGTGTGGGCCATTTTGAGAACTGAGGAAACCAGAACCCAGGGGTAAAATGTGGTGTTTTAGTGCTTGTTGTATGGAACACAGTGAGACTTGGCAGGCCTCTGTGGTAAAGTCCATATTCATCAGAGGCCAAGGCTTTTCAGAGAAAGAGCAAAAGCCAGAGTTACAGCTTGTTAGAACTTGTTCAGTCTTCAGAAAAAGACACAAGCAGCTTTATATTTAGAACGGGTTTTTTATAGACCACATATAGGTGGGTCTTGTTTTTTTATCCAATATCACACCCTCTGCCTTAATTTTTAAGATGTTTAGTCCACTTATACAATGTATCATTCACAAATAATGATTATTAATATGGTTGGGTTTAGATCTACCCTCTTGCTGTTGTTTTCTATTATTATATCTTTTTATGCCTTATTTTTTAGTTCAGTTCAGTCTCTGTCAATGTCAAACTCTTTGTGACCTCATGGACTGCAGCACACCAGGCTTTCCTGTCCATCACCAAATCCTGTAGCTTTCTCAAACTCATATTCGTCGAGTCGGTGATGCCAACCAACCATCTCATCCTGTNCACCACTCCCTGTCCTCTGTCTAGAGGAGCTTCATACCTGGTGACAAAAACATCCTTTGTCCCACTCTGAAGTCTCTATGTGAACAGAGAAAACACAGATTTACTCTAATAAACCAGAAAGGAAATTTGATCGCAAGACAAGACTCCCAGAACTGATAAAAACCTTGGAAGGCCATCTGGTCTAGCTTCTGCTTTGGGCAGATGGATATGTAAGGCCACGCTGGACAGACTGTGGTCTCATTCTTGATCCATCAAATGACAGAGACCAGACAGACTTTCCCAACAGTCCAGCCAGGGTGTCCAGAGCTCCTGGTGACAGGCGGCCTTCCCCCTTCACCTCAAGTCAATCACGAGGAGATGAGAGAATCTGCTTTGATAACTCCCAAGACTGAACCCAGCAGCAGCTAGGAAAGCAGTAGCTTCCAGCAACCTTCAAAATCAAGGCGCTCTGATCTTACCTCTTGGGAAGAAGGGAAGAAAGAAGATGCAAAAACTACATTTGTTGGAAGTATAAATACTCCTGTGTGTCAATCAGAAATCAGGCCGTCCCCATGTGATAGCGGCTCATCCTTCCTATGGGCAACAGGGGTTGTCAATGACCAACATGACATCAATGCCGTAGGCCTCCAGCAAGTCCATAAGAAAGCTCCGGTCTCCTTGGGGGTCTAAACCCATGCCCCGGGCGTGCTCGGCCGTCAGAGTTTTGTCTTGACTGGCGGACACCTCCAACAAAGTCTGAAATATCCGGTTGTTTTGCTCAAGGAAAAACAGCACAAAGAGGTCCTCTTCGCAAGGGTTATAATCTTCTTCCACCTCCTAGGAGTATAACAGCATCTGCCTCTGCTCATTGAGCCGCTGGTACTTCTCCCGGTCAGCGCTATTGATCTTCAGCAGGGGCTGCAGGTGGTCGTGGTGCGTCTTCACGTTCTGGTTGTCCACGTAGACATCGTAGAGCTCCCGCTTCTCCTCGAAAATCTTCTCTGTGGTGCAGGCCACATGAGACACCTCTACCTCCAGGGTCTCGATGTCGGCCACGTTCACGTAGAAGAAAGGCTTGGACTCAGGCACGGTGCCCCCGATGCCAGGCAGGGAGACANCAGATTCTAGAGGCCACCGGAAAGGAGTCAGCCCAGGCATGCCTGCTACCCATCAGTATAGCTGGGGAGCTTTGTCAACCCCCGATCCCCGGGCAGATGGGCAAAAGTGTGCCCAGAGGGAAGGGGCGGCAGGTAGGGGGGCTGGACCAGAGCCCCTCGGGTGTGGGGACGGGCAGCTCCCCTTCGCCCTCCCCCAGCCCCACCTCTGCTCGTTGAGCCGCCGGTACTTCTCCCGGTCGGCGCTGTTGATCTTCAGCAGGGGCTGCAGGTGGTCGTGGTGCGTCTTCACGTTCTGGTTGTCCACGTAGACGTCGTAGAGCTCCCGCTTCTCCTCGAAAATCTTCTCCGTGGTGCCTGCGGGAGCTGGGGTTCAGGAGGCGGGGACCCTCCGCAGGGCGGCCCTACAGGGAACCAGGGCCCTCGGAGGGTTGCCGGGGAAGCACAGGCAGGATGGGGCGGGCCCCGTACTCACAGGCCACATAAGACACCTCTACCTCCAGGGTCTCGATGTCGGCCACGTTCACGTAGAAGAAAGGCTTGGACTCAGGCACGGTGCCCCCGATGCCAGGCAGGGAGACATTGGCCAGGCAGCAGCAGCAGTACACTGGCGGGACAGCGGAGGTGAGGGCGCCCGGGGTCCCCCCCTCCCAGTCTGCCCCCCGCCTTCTGAGCTGCCAGCATCATCAGAGTGCTCCGTTCAGACACGGGTCAGTCTTCCTCTTGGGACATCTTGCTTAGGATGTGGTAATGGTGACCTTCCCCTTCTCAGAACCCTTGCCCACAGCAACCGTGCCTCTCCTGGTCCCCTCCCTTCTCCTGACTGCGCCCCTCGGCCTCCTCTGTCTTCCTCCTCCTCTGGCTCACCTCCCGGGCCAGCATCTTCCACGCTGACACATCCCTTCTGATTCACACTCTCTCCAAGTAACAGCACAGACAGCCCAGCCTGTCCCCCAAGGTCCTGACCCAACTAGATTACTGCCTAGCGTCCACCTCGAGAAGGTCTCAGAGCTGCACACACATATAGTGTCCAAGTGGACTCTATCACACCGCTCCCTATCTGTTCCTCCTCAGTTCCCCAGCTGGTGGCTCTATCGTCCTTGGCATCCTAGAGTCTTCCGCCCTGACCTCACACACATCAGAACCTTACAACCCAATCTGACACCAGCCTCTGCCAGATTTCTCTCTTTATATCTGGAATCCATCCTCTCTGCTTTAACCCAGGCCCTTGTCTCTTTCCAGACTGCTCATCTGCCACCCGATCCATCTTTCCTACTGCCAGAGTCCACATTCTACGCTATCAATCCAACCACAGCCCTCCAGGGCTTCAAATCAGTGAGCCCCTGATTTGGATCAATCCCTCTGACCTTGGTCAACAATGGAAAGGATGGGAGCAGTTTCTGTCGCAGGGACTTTGGGCAGTGTCCCTGACCTTGGCTTCTAGTTACCTCTATAGCATACAACGCCCACTGGAGGGGGAGAAAATATCAAAATGCGCTTTCGAAGTAAGGCAAATTTCCAAAGGATGAGGATCTGTTCGCCAAAGAACTTAATAAACTGAGACATGCAGCCAGCTGGGTGTGTGATCTGAAAAAATTAACAGAGGTGGGTGAGGGGGAGAGAGGAAAAGCTTGTTAGAAATATTGTGAAAAATATTCAATACAAGTGTGTGCTAACCACCCCTCCCACCAAAAAACAAAAACAAACCCCCAAGGTATAACTAAACAGATACACTAAGGGATGGTTACTATTTTTTGAATGTTGAGTTTTAAGCCAACTTTTTCACTCTCCTCTCTCACTTCCATCAAGAGGCTTCTCAATTCCTCTTCACTTTCTGCCATAAGGATGGTGTCATCTGCATATCTGAGGTTATGGGTATTTCTTCTAGCAATCTTGATTCCAGCTTGTGCTTCATCCAGCCTGGCATTTCGCATGATGTACTCTGCATATACGTTAAATAAGTAGCGTGACAGTATACAGCCTTGACATACTCCTTTCTCAATTTGGAACCAGTCTATTGTTCCATGTCTGGTTTTAACCATTGCTTCTTGACCTGCCTACATATTTCTCAGGAGGGAGTAAGTAAGTGTCATTTTTGAGTAATTAAGTGGTTATATGATTCAGTTTTATCTCATTTGTTGGCTTATGAATAATAACATTGATTTATGACATTTATTGACTATTTTTAGTGATGGCTTTAGGATTTTGTGGGTACATGTCTAACTATCACTGAAGCTTACCTTAAGGTGAAATTATACCATTTCACAAAAAATGTAAGAGCCTTGCAACAGTGTATTTCTGTTTTTTGTCCCTTTCTTTCTACTATTGTAAAACCTTTTGCTTCTACATGTTATAAAACACATAATACACTGTTACTCTTTTTGCTTTCAACAGTCAATGATTTTTTAAAATGCTTTAAAAAGAAAATATCATACAGTAATACATATGTACAGAATCTAGAAAGATGGTACTGATGAATTTATTTAGAAACAGACATAGAGAACAGGCTTATGGACACGGGGTGGGAGAGGAAGGGGAAGGTGAGATGTATGGAGAGAATAACATGGACAGTTACGTTGCCAAATGTAAAATAGACAGCCAAGGAGAATGTGCAAATGACTCAGGGAACTCAAACAGGGGCTCTGTAACAACTTAGGGGGGTGGGATGGGGAGGGAGATGGGAGGGAGGTTCAAGAGGGAGGGGGGCATATGTATGCCTATGGCTGATTCATGTGGATATTTGACAGAAAACAACAAAATTCTATAAAGCAATTATCCTTCAGTTAAAAAATTAAAAAAAAAGAAAAAATACTGTTTTATATTTACTTTGGTGTTTACCATCAGTAAGCATTTATTCCTTTGGAAAGAACAGATTTCCATCTAGTATCATTTTCCATGTTAAAGAAATTCCTTTACCATTTCTGGTAAGACCATTTCAATGGTCAATTTCTTACCATTTCTTAGTGCTATAAATCTGATGATGGATGCTATAAATCTGATGATGGATTTTTCATCATTTATATGTCTGAACAGTCCTTATTTTACCTTTATTTTTGAAAACTGGGTGTAGAGTTTTAGGCTAACAGTCATTCTTCCTTTTGGTACTTTGTTTTTTTAATTTTTATTTTAAAAATTTAATTGGTGGAAAATTGCTTTGCAATTTTGAGTTGGTTTCTGCCATACAACAATACAAACCAGTCATAATTCTATATGTACACACACACATATATATATTTCCTTTTCCCGAGTCTCCCTTCCCTCCCTCCATCCCACTCTTCCATGTCATCACAGAGTGCCACGTGGGTTCCCTGTGTTACTTAGCAACTTCCCACTATTTTACACGTGATAGGTTATATATGTCAATGCCACTTTCTCAATTCATCCCACCCTCACCTTCCCCAACTGTGTCCACAAGTCTGTTCTCTACTAGGTTCATCAGGACCATTTTTCTAGATTCCATGTATATATGCCTGTTTTTCTCTTTATGACTTTTTTTCTCTTTCTGACTTGCTTTACTCTGTATAAGAGGCTTTAGGTTCATCCAGTTCACTACAACTGACTCAGATTTGTTCCTTTTTATGTCTGAGTGATATCCCATTGTGAAGTGTACTACAGCTTATGAATGGACAGATGTCCATTCATCTGTCATTGGACAACTAGGCTGCTTCCATGTCCTGGCTATTGTAAATATTGCTGCAGTGAACACTGGGGTACATGTATCTTTTAGAGTTGTGGTTTTCTCAGGAAATACGCCCAGTAGTGGGATTGCTGGCTCACATGGTAGATTTATTCCTAGTTTTTTAAGAAATCGCCATACTGTTCTCCACACAGTTGTACCAATTTCCATTTCCATCAACAGTGCAGGAGGGTTCCCTTTTCTCCACATCCTTTCCAGCATTTATTGTTTGTAGATATTTTAATGATGACCATTCTGACTGGTGTGAGCATTTCTCTAATAATGAGCGATATTGGGCATCTTCTCATGTATTTATTGGCCATCTGTATGTCTTCTTTGGAGACTTTTTGGTACTTTAAAGATATGGGCCCACTGTCTTTTGCCTTGTATTGCTCCTGAAGAGAAGACTGCTATCATTTTTAAATTTGTTCCTCTGCTTCTATGCCTTTAGTGGATTTTAAGATTTTTCTCTTGATTACTGGCTTTACAGATTGTTTAATGGGTCTTGTGCTAAGGGTTCGTATCACTTCTTGGATTTGTGCATTCTTAGTTTCCAGCAAATGGGGGGGTTTTTCATCCATTATTTCTTCAAATATTTTTTCTGTCTCTTCTTCTCTTCCCTTCTTTGGGGACACAAGTTATACTTTAGCCTTTTGAAATTCTTATGGTTCACTGATGCTTTATATGCTGCTTTTCTCTTTTAGTAGCCCATTTCTTCTCTGTGTATCATTTTGGAGAGTTTCTATTTCTATGCCTCAAAGTTTTCTAATCTTCAGTATCTATAATTAATTCCATTCAATTTACTTGTCATCTAAGACATTGCTTTTTTTTTTCCATCTCTAGAAGTTTGATTTGGGTCTCACGTCCTCCATGTTTCTACTTAACATACACACATTGTCCTTTGCATTCTTAAATGGAATATAATTATGTAATTATCTTGTATAGAATGTAATTATGAATGTAATCACTGAATGTTCTTGTCTACTGTTATTGAGTCTTTCTATCAATATGCTTTTGTCCTAATGATGAGTCAAATTTTCCTGCTTCTTTGAATATCTGGAAATGTATTAGGTGTCAGACATTTTACCTAGTTGTATATATAGGAGATGTGTATGTTAATAGATACATTTATGTCTATATCTCTTATTATACAACAAGATCTGTGTGTGTATACATACACACACAAACACACACATAGATATTAGTTAGTTTATTCTTGAGCTTTGCTCTGTGTTATGTTATTTGCAAACACTTTAATCTTTTCAGGGCTCACTTCTAAGTTCTGTTACATAGAACCTGAGAAGCCTTCAGTCTAAGGCTGACTCTCCCTACTTCAAAGGCAGTACCTTCTGAGCACTCGACTGGAAGGGTTCGTCCACTCTGGCTTACAGGACTGCAGACTATCCCTGGCACTGTGTGACTGCCAGGATTGTTTTGCCTTTTCACTGGTTCTTTTCCCAGCTAAGGTAATTTCCCCACGCACATGCAGTGATCAGTACTCAAGTGGGGATTGGAGGGGGAACCCCCTGGAGATCTCTGCATCTTTTCTGCAGTATTCTCCTCTCAATGCAGCTCTATCCACTCCGTATAGGGCTTCCTTTCCACTACTCCATCCTGTGAATTCCCTGAATTCTCAGTCCTGTATCCTCAACCCTGCCCTAGAATTTCCTCCAAGCAATAACTCGGGTAATTGTAGGGCTCAGTTCATTGATTTCTCATTTCTCAGCGATGACTGTTCTGCATCGGCTGTTGTTCAGTGCCTGAAAGTCATTGTCTGATAGATTTTGTATAGTTTTTACTTGTTTGTATAGTTTTACTTGTTTAAGATGGTAGGGTAAATCTGATGCTGTCTGTTACTCCATATTGCCTGGGGGTACTCACAAACTACCTCATAAATTTCAGTTAGTTCTCCTCTGCCTACAAAGTCAAGTTCAGATCCCTTGGTTTAGTATACCCAGTCCTTTACAAGCTGACCTCATGACGACCCAAACCCTCACCCTACCCATTTTCAGTAAATCAAAACAAGTTGCCAAATCTTGTTCGCATCCAAACTTTTTCAGCCTCAGTGCATTGTTGTTGTTTATAATCTCTAAGTCATGTCCAGCTCTTTGTGACCCCATGGACTGCAATGTGCCAGGCTTCCCTATCCTTTGCCATCTCCCAGAGTTTGCTCAACTCATGTCCTTTGAGTCGATGAGGCCATTTGACCATCTCATCCTCTGCTACCCTCTTCTCTTCCTCCCTTCAATCAATGCATTGCACATGTTCGTCTCTCCACCGAGGAAGACCTTCTTCCAGTGTATCCCCCATCTAGCCAAATTCTACTTGTTCTTTAAGACACAGCTCAATTATATATTCCTCTCTTAAATATTTCCAGACCTCAGTGTTAGCTGCTACTGCGTGTTCTCTCAGCACTGAGGGCATACCTCTGCCATAGATGTAGGAAACTTTTATAGAGATCCTTAGTTAGGCTTCTACACCTGACTGAGGTCTCCTAGTATTCTTGAGGGTAAGAACTTCTATGTCTTAGGCACAGTTTCATCGCTCAGCCTAGCCCAGGACCCAACTTTAGGTAGATTCTCAGCAAGTGTTTGCTTAAGGAATGAACATCCTGTCTCACTGCAGATAGTATTGGCTTGCCCATTTGCAGAACTTGGAAATTATAAATAAGAAAACTGAAATATGACTTGCATTAGAAGGGCTGCCATCGTGTCGCAGGTGTTCTAATGATGGTTATCAGTGGGGGTGCTGAGCAGGTGCGGCTTTCTTCCAGGGCATTATCCCATTGTTAAAGCAGTTTATAACCAGTAGTTATTTCTCTCTTTCACAGATGGTATACTTCTGTGATTTCTGTAAGAAGTAAGCACAGGAAAAGTTATTCCTTGGCAGTTGCTTTGAGTTAACATAACCCTTATTAAAGCATCAGCTTCAACTCTGAGAGATGGTTGTCATCAGGATATAATTCTGATATGATTGAAAGCCAGGATCTTAGAGACTTAGAACTGAGATATCCCTGAATTGCC